ATAGCAACAGAACCGCGACGGTCCGCGGGCTCTGTGGAGCTTAAGCACAGAGTCACAACGAAGGGCGGTATCGACTACGTCAGCGAGCTCGCCGTGGTCAGACGCGTCGGCGAGCTACTAGCGAGAGAGCACGAGTAACGCATACGAATAGGCAGCCAGCCCAATCAATGAGCGGTGTACCGCGCATGGTTCAGTTCGCGCCGAGCACGTGAGTGCTGTTCAGTACCCTCGGCGCGCATGCGCAGGCGAGGGTACTGTAGTTGGGTTTGTCTGTGTGTGTGTCTGTTTACTCTCATCTCAATCTCACTTCGGAGTGTTTGTTCGTCTCACAAACGATACGATCTACCTAATACGGGCGACGAAGGTCAGAAAATAAAGGCGGTTTTCTGTGAAACCGCTCCTGGCAGAGCTCTAGCGCTTCCAACCATGTACGGCTGGGTATAGTCTGGCCATTTTTACTCCACGTAAAACGCGCATGCGCAGTGTACTTGCTTATATTTGGTCCGGGTCTGTCGTGTGTCCTGTCTGTCTCTTACTCTACATCGCTCACCTCTCTCGCATGGCTGTTCGTCCTAGAAACGATACCACTCTACCCAACGGGCGACCAATGGTCAGAAAATCTTGTTTTTTCTCTGAAACTGCTCCGTTGCAGAGCTACAGCGCGAAAAAGCCAATATGCAAATACCAACGGACGGGATGGCTGAGAGATCCGCGTGCTCTGCGTACCTCGGAGGGCCACCAGAAGATGCAACGCAGGGCGTGTACGCTCTCGCATGCTATCTAGTAGTGTAGTTAGCCCGCGTCAGACTCTCACGAGCTGGCAAGAGACCACGAGTAACAGCTACAAACTAAACCCAGCCATCAATTAGTGGTACGGCGCATGCGTTTACTTACGCGTGCGCGTCACAATGCGCCGAGGGTTTGCACTTCAGTGCTTTCATTAACCCTCGGCGCGCATTGCGCAGCGAGGGTTACTGTAGTGGGTTTGTCGTGTGGTGTGTCTGTTACTTACATCTCACCTCTCGAATGTCTGTTCCTTACAGAAACGATACCATCTACCCAACGGGCGACGAAGGTCAGAAAATAAAGGCGGTTTTATCAGAAATGCTCCGTTGCAGAGCTAGAGCGCTTCCACCATTGTACGGCTAATGCGTAGTCAGCCATTTTTATCGCTGCGGAAATGGCGCATGCGCTTATTTTCAACAGGCTTTAAACCTCGACCGGGTCCGCTTGCTCTGTGTATCTTGAAGGCACAAGAAGTCACGACGAAGGGCGCGTATCGACTCTCGCATACTATCTACTAGCCCGTGTCAGACTCTCTGCGAGCTACTAGCGGGAGACCACGAGTAATAGCAGCCCAGCCCATCAATTAGCGGTACCGCGCAGTTCGCCGAGGGTTTGCACTTTAGTGCTTTTCATTGTGAAGGTGGTAGAATAAATACATATCTATGGACCAGATAATGTCTCTTTCCCTTTTGCTCTAGATTTGTGTCCCACCACAGTACCAACCACTGCCTGTCCCTCCTGTACATCGTCCCTTCACATTCCAACAGTATTGCAACCATCTCACACAAAAACTGGGTCGGTAACTATTGTGACTCCACTCACTGGTTCAACCACTATCCTACACCTCTCACCTAGTCTGAGTGGCGTTTCCTATACCCTGTCTTTATTGTCCACTGGATCAGCTATGTCCCTATCAACTCCATACAGACATTTTCCCACTGGATCTACTCCATCTTCTTCCACTGGGTCAACTCCATCTTTTTCACTGTATCAACTCCATCTAGACCAACTCCATCTTCTTTCAATAGACTAACTCCATCTTCCTCTGGACCAACTCCACCTTCTTCCACTGGACCAACTCCACCTTCTTCCACTGGACCAACTCCATCTCCTTCCACTGGACCAACTCCATCTTCTTCCACTGGACCAACTCCATCTTCTTCCACTGGACCAACTCCATCTCCTTCCACTGGACCAACTCCATCTTCTTCCACTGGACCAACTCCATCTCCTTCCACTGGACCAACTCCATCTCCTTCCACTGGACCAACTCCATCTTCTTCCACTGGACCAACTGCATTTTCTTCTTCCACTGGACCAACTCCATCTCCTTCCACTGGACCAACTCCATCTCCTTCCACTGGACCAACTCCATCTTCTTCCACTGGACCAACTCCATCTTCTTCCACTGGACCAACTCCATCTTCTTCCACTGGACCAACTCCACCTTCTATATACCTCCTGCGGCGAAGTCGTTATCGTCACTACCAGCTCCACCAGATTGCAATTTCAATGAGTCGGCTTGATGACGATGAGTCGACAGACTAATTAATCACTTGATAATATTTTATTCATGAGTATAATATAACTACTTTTTCGAGTTGCGGGATTTGTCCACTACTTATAGAACTGATTTGTCCAGCTGTAGACATGGCCACTACCTATATTGGCTAACTGGCTAAGGTGCCCTTTTTGAATTCATAGCAGATTATTATAGGTCCTTATAACTATATCATACCTATGCACTGGTGTGCATATGTATCAGCTTATATTCTTGTTGTTAAACAGCCTTTTTAGCCAACTCTCTGTGCCATGGCCCATGACGCATATTGTGTACTCCTGGTATATAGTTTAAAAATAGATCAGCTACCACATCGCAAAGAATTAATTATCACAAAAATGTTTTATGAATACCATTGTATGATGAACAAAAAATGGGGTAAGTCATAAACAAGTGTTCATATGTACATGGTCAACAAAATGAAGGTTGGAACTACTACAGCTGGTAGAATTGCCGCCACTGCAGTGTGTCCAGTGGACGAAGGTGTAGGTGATGATGTAGTGGATGAAGGCGGAGTTGCTGTAGGGAGAAAAGACACATAGACATCATTAGTAAACATCATGCGCTAAGTGTTCCAGTACATCAATAACAACCTGTTTCTCTTCAGTTACTACATCTTAGGACACCAGTACTCCCAAACTGGTGTTCCATCAGTACACTTCTTTATAATTACCATTCATTTCTTATTGATAGCATCCTATTTTATAGATCGCATTGTGTATTGTAAAGCTTGAAAAAAAAAATAATAATAAATAAATAAATAAATTAAACCTTAAAAACCTATTGCCTTCTACAACACATACCAACCTCATGTGTGACTTAACATCACTAATTGTTTAATACAAACAGTAATGTTAGCACAGAGAGCTAGCAATATCACAGTTGCCTATTTGTAATCCAACTGCAGGGACCATCCCATACAGAGTATGCTGGCTCCACCCACTCGTAAAAACAAACTCACCGCTAGTAGGCTGTTCATCACAAGAGGTAGTCGGAATAAAAGTGTCGCTGACAAGCGGAAGAGGACTGTCTTGTATATCTGTCAGAGCAAATCGAATTACTCCTTCACTCGTGGTGTCTACAGTCACCACATTGCTGTCTGAGAACACTCCGGACTGTGTAAAGACCTGTGACTGAGGGGAGCTATCTGTAGTGACATATGCCAGAGTTACTCCGACAGGAGAGCAGCTGAGGGCTATGGAGAACTGGCCACCACCAAAGTTGCAAGTCACCTCCCTACAGCTTGGGAGTGGTGAGCACTGCTGGGCAGTGTCTTCCAATTCTAAATTAATGTTGAGTTGGTCACTAATGCTCCTCATGGACTGGCAAAGATCGAGATTTGGTGGGACAGTAACAGTAGGGCAGTCAATTCCTGGACATAATGAAAAAGAGAGATTAATCTGTGGAAATGTACGGAGCAGAATTGAAAATACCTGGTGAGCCATAACCACAGCTGGTGAAGTTGATTGGTATCACAGTGTACGGTATGATAAAGAACCCAGGTCCAGCTTGTATAGAAATCTGTGAAGGTTAATATGGATTGCCAGCAGTGAACTGAAACTAGGTGCGCATGACTGTCACACAAGACCTGCACGTGCTTGGTGCACAATTAATGCTGACATGTCGTGGGCAGACTATTCTGGTTAGCTCACAAAAGTATTGCAAGGTCAGGTACTGTTGAAGTACTGAGAGGTACTGTTGTATGGCTGCCTGAGTGCTTGTGCTAAAGTACTCAGCCCGGAAGCCGGGAAGCTGAGAAGCGTCAATACTCAGCAATGTATTACTGTATAGGTTATACGACGGCGGCGCGTGGTCTTCAAAATGCCTTCTTTTACTGCACACCACCTCGTGAAAATGCGGAGAGAGCTAGCTAGCAAAGAGAGGCGGCTACGATAAGCGCTTTAGTTTAGTCCAGCTGCGCAGTCTTGACTCATAAGCAACAACGAGTACGTCAAAGCTACTTTTTTTGCTGCTGGACCCAACGCATACGTTTTATAGCTGCCCCCGCTGGCTCGTTTTTGTCTCCCACCATACATAGCACTCTCGTATGCGCGGTTTTGACTGATAAGCAATGGTCATTTCTCGAGAGCTCAACGTTACAGGTATAATTATTAGTCAAAGCTATTTTTTTCTCTGCTGGACTGAAAAATTTTTTTAAATTGCTATCATATAACAGTATATACCATACACCCACTGTGGTAATGAGTTGACATACAGCTAAAGTATGGGGACTCTTTATGGTATAACTACCCTTGTAGTCCAACTTCAAACAACCCGGTGCTAGGAATATACGCTGTATTCTGAGCTGTGGGCTGTGGGCTGTGGGCTGCACTCGTCCGGTATAGTCAACAGCCTCGGAGTATCTATTATACTGCCTCGCCGCCTATACATTAACTAATACATACAGTCAGCAGGAAGCGCTCACTATGCATCTACGTTGTTTATAGCTGGAATTCCTTCAGTCATCATACAAAGTATAATAGCTACTACCATTAGCATACCTCAAGGCCAATGGAACTTGGGCAAATCTGGTCCAATGTTACATCAAAGTAAGTGTCATAGATGATTCCAGGGATAACTACTTCATCAGAGCTGCTGAATGACTGATTGACACTATCTCCATAGACAACTCTGACTGCAGGAGGCTGGGAGCAGGGGAGAAGGCTGAAGGTGAAGTCTATACTTTCACAGGTGAGGGTCCAGCAGTCGTCCTGGGGGAAATAGCACCTGACCAAGTAGTTCTGAGCTACGTCTGTCTTGATGGACTCCATGGCCTCACAGGTAGTGGCTGGGGCTGTAAGATGAGGACAGGGAACGGTTAAGTTTTGCTGGCCCTATTCTTGCTTTAGGCATAATGAATGATTCACACTGCACTGTCACTCTTCCACCTCGTGAGTATATGTATATGTAGTAAGTTATCTACAAGGAGGGGCACAGAGGGCTCAAAATGGTTGTAGCTTCACACTGCACGGTTTCAGCACGACACATTAATACCACGTGGATAATTGTCGGATGTGTACACTTATTTCCTCTGTGCATAACAAGCATTCAGGAGTATGGTTGTTGATCCTCACTGTAGTATATAGTGTGCAACACTTTGCTAGGAATGTTTGTGCCATTAGATATTATGTGTTGTGCCAGAATGGGGACACCCCTGGCCTAATATCGCTACATAATATACTCACGAGGTGGAAGAGTGACAGTGGTGGTTGGAGCAGATGAGGGTTCACAGGAGGGTAGGTCCAGTATGATCTTCTGACGATATAAAATCACCCGGTTGATACCGTCACTTGTGAAATCCACCTGTAGAGGGAGGAGGAAAGGACAACGGGGAAATGAACGAGTAGAGATGTATGCACACACCAAAACACACTTGTAATCCTGTAGAGTAGAACCAAAGGCTATATTATAAAGGCTCCACTTTCCCAGTCCCTCCCTCCATACCCTCTCTTATCTCATATTCATAGCAGCTACCTGCATGTCCATGGAGTAGTCATAGTACCAGACAGTTGCAGTCAGTGTGGCGGAGCCCAACAGCTCTGATGTTGTGTTTCCACTCACAACCACAGTGAAAGGTGTCCCCTTGAACACTATCTGTAAGGTGACGGATGGAGGACTGTCACATGGGTCCAAATCCAGTCCATCCACTTTAAAGCCGTCGATTATGTCACCTTCACACCGTACTCCATAGCTCTTGCAATTGATATCGTAGGAATCACAGTAGCTGTCTTCGAAAAATGGTGGAAATGTGTCACACGCGCACTGTGCAGGAATCAGAGGGAAGGACACAGGTGGCAGAATCGTCTGTGTATTTTGACCATCTCGGTCAACAGACAGCTGGAGAAAAGGAAGGAATTATGGGAGGGAAGTCCCAATTGCAGTATATAGCTACATTAGAAGAGCAGCCATTATACAAGCAACACCTAAGAGCGTAAAGGGCTGGTGCAAAGCCATTAATAGCTTGCTGGTCCTACTACAGTCCAAGTGCAAATCTGAACATAAGCCCCAGTGCAGCGTGAATGCATGCACTGGGGAGTTATGATGCTCAATCTTTCACAGCCCTGCAAAATACGATTCCAGGCTCGACATTTATGATTTTAACCATGTAGCTATACACAGTGCTTATCAACCGCATTACGTGTATACCTCAAATATGATGCGGGTGATGTTTCGAGATATGACTGCAGTATACATCCCAGTATCTCCATTGCTGTTCTGTCCCTCATTACCCACTGTCTCGCTCTTGTTAAAGGTATGGGCGAATGTATGTTCATTCCCATCGCCATCAACAAACTCATAGCTCACACCGATTACCACAGGATCATTGCACGGTCCAGTAGAGACGATGATAGATATTCTGTCCGCGATTATCGAAGCGCTTTTATAATCCGCCGCGCTTACGCAATGGCACATTAGCACGTTTTAGGCCAGCTAGAGGAGGTCGGACATGCGCAGGGATTGCGTCATTGTAAATGACATTTATGCTGACACAGCAATTTCTTTCCCGTAAAGAATGTATGGGGAGATAAAAGAGCGTGCTGTAGCAAAACCAACCGGGATTCGGAGAGGATTTGCAACTGAATCGATGTAATATGTAAGAAAGATACTGAAAATCCTATTATCCCCAGCGATCCCCTACCGCTCGGCAAGATATAGTGAAGAATACTAATAACTCTGTTACACTCACAGCGTGAGCCCTAGAGCTAAGCTAAATGCACAGTACCTTACTTTGATCTTTTTTACAACTCTCCGTGTGGTTTCAAGCGAATGCTCCGTCTGTTTTGTCAAAAAACTAAGCATAGGTCGAGCAAGTCGTCGAAGGTCGTGCATTCCTCAACGCGTTAATTGAAATTCTTGTACTATTCACGTGACCGTGTCCGACACCTCCTCTGGTTTTAGGCAGCATCCAGCTGCGGTATTATACGGTCGCCCCGCCCGTCCCCCTGACTCTCTTATAATTTAGTTATAAGGCAAACACCACATTCTCAGGAGATTACATTTTCAAGAGAGCAAAGTAGGGAAAAGGGCACCTCTGTACATAGCTATCGTCTTTACTTCAGTGAAGAAGGGATAAAGTATACCCTCTACCTCTCACACAAAAGCAAAGCCTGCATCTCTTGAGTGTTGCAGAAACAGCAAGATCATTGCTACATGTAGCTACACATAAAAGGTATAGATCGTAATGCAAATCAGTTGGAGGAGAGAAGAAATACACCAGTGGTATTTGACAAACTAAAACACCTCTTTGAGCATTGGTATTATAGTGGTGGGGAACAGGAAACACATCATAAGTGCAGTCAAAATAAAGCCCCAGGTGTGCCAGACACACATCCCCACAGGATGTCCTTGAAGAGTAACTGTCAGCAGTGATCACATCTTCACTGACAGAAGTCTATGTGGCATGAATACCTTCAAGGGTATATAGCTACCTTCCTGTTTGTTAGCCTAGACATTAGCTGCCTCTACATACACTTTTATCGCAAATTTCGAGGTATACACCTTGCCACATTTTTGATATTTTTGTCAAAAAGAGCTAGCTATATTATAATTATAATGACCCTGTGTAAATTATCACGTTTTCTTGTGATGTTCACAGCCAGTTACAGATGGCTCTGATGTGACAGTGTCAGGGTGCTGTCGAGAAATAAGCCAACCTCTTACGAACTGACCTTGCTGTCCATGCGCTATCTGCTGTTGGTATATGTTACCCCAGCAAGGTTATTGGCCGGTAGTGATATAGCACCCACTTAGCTGTACAGCAGAGGGCTGAGTCAGAGGGCTGAGCTACTTCCTTAATCAACACCCACTTTGCCTTCCTTATAGGGAAATCAGGTATTAGTAAGCGCGCAGCGCGTATAGAGCATACTTGCCATCATCAAACCACTTGACTTGTGCCGCCTGCAGTGAAAGTGGCAATTACAATTTCACACTATTAGGCAACGGCTAGAGCCAGAAAAACGTGATCTACGTCAGCCAAGCCTCATTAATATTACTCGTGGGTACGGCATCGATGCGGAGAGAAACGCGCGAGCCAGTAAACTGGAGGTATAGCAAAATGGGCTCAGCTGCTGTACCGACACTGCCGCTCTTTATCATCTGTGCCTGGCGTAAGTTTAAATTCACCACTAAGCTTATAGTATATATGCGTACTAGCTAGCTTACCATCATGGTGTGGTAGCAGACCATCAGCGAAGAACTGATTCGACTCGCCGCACGTGCGTGTTTGGGCATTGACTCGGGAAAAATCGTATATACCTATGTGCTACTTCTCCCACCAGATATTCAGTGCTTGCTAAAGAGTAAAATAAATCTTTCCTCTCACACTTTTTAGTTACAACTGCCAGCGCCCAGTCTTCGTGTCCCTACCTACAACGCTACGTGGATACTCTGCAACCGGCTACTCAATGTAGTCTCTTCAGGGATTGCCAGGGGTTCACCTGTGTTGGTGACTACTCTATCGCTGTCTCTACTGGACCGTGCAAGGATCCTGTGGTAATCGGTGTGAGCTATGAGTTTGTTGATGGCGATGGGAATGAACATACATTCGCCCATACCTTTAACAAGAGCGAGACAGTGGGTAATGAGGGACAGAGCAGCAATGGAGATACTGGGATGTATACTGCAGTCATATCTCGAAACATCACCCACGTCAGATTTGAGGTATGCAGTTGATAAAGCACTGTGTAGCTACATGGTTAAAGTCATTAATGTCGAGCCTGGAATCGTATTTTGCAGGGCTGTGAAAGATTGAGCATCTTAACTCCCTAGTGCATGCATTCATTCATGCTTCACTGGGGCTTATGTTCAGATTTGCACTAGGACTGTAGTAGGACCAGCAGGCTATACATGGCTTTGCACCAGCCCTGTGGTGCTTGTATAATGGCTGCTCTTCTAATGTAGCTATATACTGCAATTGGGACTTCCCTCCCATAATTTCTTCCCTTTCTCCAGCTGTCTGTTGACCGAGATGGTCAAAATACACAGACGATTCTGCCACCTGTGTCCTTCCCTCTGATTCCTGCACACTGCGCGTGTGACACATTTCCACCATTTTTCGAAGACGGCTACTGTGATTCCTACGATATCAATTGCAAGAGCTATGGAATACGGTGTGAAGGTGACACAATCGACGGCTTTAAATTGGATGGACTGGATTTGGACCCATGTGACAGTCCTCCATCCGTCACCTTACAGATAGTGTTCAAGGGGACACCTTTCACTGTGGTTGTGAGTGGAAACACAACATCAGAGCTGCTGGGCTCCGCCACACTGACTGCAACTGTCTGGTACTATGACTACTCCATGGACATGCAGGTAGCTGCTATGAATGTGAGATAAGAGAGGGTATGGAGGGAGGGACTGGGAAAGTGGAGCCTTTATATTATAGCCTTTGGTTCTACTCGTTCATCTCCCTGTTGTCCTTTCCTTTCCCTCCCCCCTCCCTCTACAGGTGGATTTCACAAGTGACGGTATCAACCGGCCGATTTTATATCGTCAGAAGATCATACTGGACCTACCCTCCTGTGAACCCTCATCTGCTCCAACCACCACTGACACTCCTCCACCTCGTGAGTATATTAGGCCGGGGGTTTCCCCATTCTGGCACAACACATAATATAAACACAAACTAATGGCACATCCATTCCTAGGAAAGTGTTGCACACTAATACAGTGAGGATCAAAACCCATGTTATGCACAGAGTAAAAATCACGTGTGTATATCGCTGTTTGCACTGAAGAGTGTTTCTCTCCTTTTCTATCCTTCATCTTTCGCTCCCCCACTTTTATTTGTTTTTTTGTGTACTTTATTTGATTTCTTTTAATTTATATATTACGAATTAATGTTTTGACCTTTGCAAACCTAGCTACCGTGCTATTTCATTTTCATTCTTGCCTCTTGTTTCCTCTCTTAGTTACATTGGAATTTAATTTTCATTCCTCTGTCTCTCATGCCTTAATAACTCAGCCATTGCCTTTTTTTTTACTTTTTGCCACTGATGAGGACTGCAGAGCAGTCGAAACGTTTGGGCAAAAAGGTTTTCTGACTAGTGTTAGTAGATATAATTCATAGAGAGTGTGTTACAAGTGTACATACGACGATTGTCCATGTGGTCCCTCGTGCTAAAAACCATGCAGTGTGTATATGAATATAAAGAGCCAGCAAAACTTAACTTCTCCCTTACAGCCCCAGCCACTACCTGTGCAGCCATGGAGTCCATCAAGACAGCAGTAGCTCAGAACTACTTGGTCAGGTGCTATTTCCCCCAGGAAGACTGCTGGACCCTCTCCTGTGAAGACATGAACCTCACCTTAAGCCTTCTCCCCTGCTCCCAGCCTCCTGCAGTCAGAGTAGTCTATGGAGATAGTGTCAATCAGACATTCAACAGCTCTGATGAAGTAGTTATCCCTGGGATCATCTATGACACTAACTTTGATGTAACACTGAACCAGATTTGCCCAAGTTCTATTGGCCTTAAGGTATGCTAATGGTATATAGTAGCTATAATACATTGCTGAGTATTGACCCTTCTCAGCTTCTGTGCTGAGTACTTTAGCGCATTAGACCACTCATTAACAATTCATGAATCGGAAGCTTTGATGTTATCAGCTATTATGAGTACTCAAAACAGCTAAGTAACCTCCACAGCTGTGGTTAGGTGTCTTAGTTTGTCTACACCTGCTTGGTTGTCAAAACTTCAATGTAGGTGACTAACCCACTCAGGCAGCCATATATATCTGCAATGCAGTATGTCATAATGCAATAGGTAACCAGTTGCCTGTACAGGATGTGTCAGCATTAAAGCACTTGCAGGTCTTGTGTGACGATGACATGCGCACCTAGGAAACATACACAGGCAGCAGTTTTAGTTCACTGCTGTTATTGCCATACTGTGTATGGCAATCCATAATAACCTTCACAGATTTCTATAGAAGCTGGACCTGGGTCCTTTATCATACCGTACACTGTGATACCAATCACCTTCACCAGCTGTGATTATGGCTCACCAGGTATTTTCAATTCTGCTCTGCTTTTTGACGTACATTTCCACTCATTAATCTCTCTTTTTCATTATGTCCAGGAATTGACTGCCCTACTGTTACTGTCCCACCAAATCTCGATCTTTGCCAGTCCATGATGAGCATTAGTGACCATCTCAACATTAATTTAGAATTGGAAGACACTGTCCACCAGTGCTCACCACTCCCAAGCTGCAGGGAGGTGACTTGCAACTTTGGTGGTGACCAGTTCTCCATAGGCCTCAGCTGCTCTCCTGTCGGAGTAACTCTGGCATATGTCACTACAGATAGCTCCCCTCCACAGACCCAGTCACAGGTCTTTACAGAGTCCGGAGTGTTCTCAGACAGCAATTTGGTGATTGTAGACACCACGAGTGAAGGAGTAATTCGATTTGCTCTGACAGATATACAAGACAGTCCTTTTCCGCTTGTCAACAACACTTTTATTCCGACTACCTCTTGTGACAAACAACCTACTGGAGGCCAGTCTAGCGGTGAGTTTGTTTTTACGAGTGGGTGGACCCAGCTTATGCAATGGGGTTTAGAACGCATGCTATACTAACTGCATGTTTTTGGTGTGTCCACAAATAAGCAACTGTGGTATTGCTTACCTACACCAACTGACTACTTAATTTAGCCCTTATGTACTGACGCATTCCCTTAAAAATTTTGATTGGTGCACAATTGGAGTTAGTTTGTTTCTGTATGCATGCATTATGAGCTTGCATCATACAGGTGCAGTGATTGGAGGAGCTGTAGGAGCCTCACTGACGGTTCTGCTGACGGTGGTGACAATTATTATTGTGATTACGGTGGTCTACCTCGTGCGACGGCGTCGTTATCGTCACTACCAGCTACAACATTTAGCAATTGGCCGGCTTGATGATGAGTCGACAGAAACCTAGCCGTTAACACAAAACTAAAGACGATTGTGAACTAGCTGTGGATCTTGTAACAGGAGAACAACCATAATTATAATATTCTCTGTATGTTATGATGATCTCAGTGTGTGATTAACCCTCGGCGCGCATGCGCAGCGAGGGTTACTGTAGTCGTTTTGTGTGTCTGTCTGTCTGTTACTCTACATCTCACTTCTCGAGTGTTTGTTCGTCTCACAAACGGTACGACCTACTCAACGCACAATGAAGGTCAGAAAATGCTCCGTTGCAAAGCTAGAGCGCTTCCAGCATTGTATGGCTAATGCCGGTATTCGCCATTTTATCGCTGGCGGATAATGCGCATGCGCTTAAATTTAGCACAGGCTTACCTCGACCGGGTCCGCTTGCTCTGTCTATCTTGAAGGCACAAGAAGTCATAACGAATGGCGTGTATCGACTCTCGTGTGCTATCTACTACTGTAGCTAGCCCGTGTCAGACTCTCTGCGAGCTACTTCGCCGAGGGAGGGTTTGCACTTTAGTGCTTTTCATTTCCTCTTTGGCACTCCACACCAGCCAGACTGTCTATGGAACAAGTCAATAGACAGTTGCAGTAGTGTACTAAAAGATGATGGGGAATTCCTGGGAGAGACCCTTCAAGCACTTGCTATAGTACAGAAGAATGCTGTACCATAGACACAGGAAAAATGCATCATCAAAATAATTAGATATCCTGGGTATAGAGGTCATTTCCTGTTTCTTGCAAGCGGTGCCCACAGCACGTGTACTCTTCCAGTGAAGGGTGCGTGCAGCACATTATACCAACATCCTGGATAGGCCTGGTGCCACATTGTCCATGGTGGGTGCAAGTATGGTCAGGGGTAATTTTGGCAAAAACCTTACAATATTCCACAAGCATTGTACCAATTGCAACATCCAGGATATATGGCTGGTGCCAAGCTTATTTCCTGCCCGCTGTAAGCATTGTCCAATGCTCCCTATAAAAACAAAGTCATTCTTGTGTCTCTCACTTGACATCATCAACTCTGGGCTCCTTGGATGCAGCATGCCGAGACTACAAATCTCACTGCTATGTCTCCTCTACTCGTGCAGTACGTGATTCTGCTACACAAAATATCTTACTACCTGTCCACACCTTAGCTATGGACTGTGTATAACATACCTTCTCTTGACAGGTTTTGCATATTGCTCATCACAAGTTGAGCTCTGCAATGCAATGAGGAACATCAGTGACCAGATAAACTACCAGATAAACAGCAATCTACTGACTGTGGGTAGCCTTGTGTGCTCGCCATCGCTGGACTGCGTGCAGGTCGACTGCGACGCATCAGATGGGACGCTATCCATCATTCTCAGTTGCTCTCCAGTCGGAGTGATCCTAAGGTCCGTCAACACGTCCACCTCGCCGCCTGAAACCGAATCTGGAGTCTTCTCCGAGTCTGGCACCTTCCAGGACTACTATCAGGTGACAGTGAACCAGTGGACCAGTGCCGGGTTCGGATTTGCCCTGAGGATCCACACAGAAGACGACTACTTTACCTTTGACTTACCTCTTGTCAATCGTGCCTTTATCCCGACAGCTTCTTGTGGTATAGTCCCCACTTCTATACCTATTACTGTTCCTGGTCATTCAGATGCCTCACCTTCAACTGCTTCCCCCAGCCCAAACCTCAACAAACGATCCTTCTGCGGCCTCATCTTCAACTGCCTCGACTGGCACAACTGGCACAAATGAACCAACTGATGTTCCAACACATGGAGATGTATCAAAGCCATCTGCTAGTCCTGAGCCTTCCACCAATGCTCCAACAGTACCTCACGTCACTGGAACCACTTGCGACGCTATGGAAAGTCTAGCTCAGCAGATGAGCAATACGTTTACCTGCAGGAGAGAGGATTGCGGCTCAATAACCTGCCAAGTGAACGGAGTAACCCTCAATTTCTACATCAGCTGTTCTCCTGTAGGAATGAAATTGCAAACTCTCTCAAACTCACGTGTACAAGAGGAAACTCTTTTCACCCAATCAGGCTCATTTGACGATTACTTGAATGTAACCGTGCGTAACTACAGCAACAAATTCCTCGGATTTGCTCTTTCACTTTTTATAAACGAGACAGATTTCTATTTGGAGATACCTGTTGCAAACTATACCGTGATTCCCCTGGACTTCTGCAGTGATGAAAATGGTGATGATCAAAATCTAAATGGTAAGGTTTTTTTGTCCCTGTAATACTTTATTGTTTGCATAGAAGCAGGCTTTGTAGTACCTAACAGTCCCCATGTTCTTATTTTCTCCTTCTTTTGACGTGTATATGCAGGTGGAGTGATAGGAGCAGTTGTAGCAATTCTGTTGCTTGTTCTGCTGACCTTGGTAACAATTATCATTGTGATTACAGTGGTTTACCACATCCGACGACGCCCTTATCGTCACTACCATCGACACCCAGTGGCCATGAACATGGGGGACAAGCCAGTCTGAACATTACAGATCCCTATGCTTTTGTAATTTTCATGCACATTTGTCTGTCCACACAACATGTAAATGAGTTGAATTGCAAGTTGCTATCCTATATATCTTTACTGCACCTCTCCATATGATACCACGTAGCTAATTACTTGATCGTCCTTACAATACATTGTGTCATAGCTATCTACGTCTGATGCAACACATTGAACATTAGCCTATATAATAGTTTACTATTCAACTTGGAGCTGATAATTTGTAAGCAAACATGGTAGCTATATAGAAGGGCAGCCAGTGGACACTGCAGTCTATATGGGTCTGCTCACTGGATACATGGAAAATCATGCTCCAAGACACAAATGAGAACACAGTCACTGTGAGGCGGTTAGCAATAGGTTTTCTTGCGTGTTTCTGCATGTAAAGAAGGGTCTATACGGCGGAGTCGTAATATTTTGACGATTTCCGGTGTGGTATTGATTGCGCAGGCGCACCGTGTTCCCCCTTCGCCAGAATGGTGTACGTGTGTGTAGTAGTACTATACTGTAGACCCAGAGACCTGCTACTGTTGAAGCGCTACTGCCTGCAAACTGAAGGATGAGAGGGTCTCTGCTACTGCTAGCTCCGTTACTCTGTGTCTTCTTCGCCTGGGGTGAGCTGAGTCCGTTCCCTGACTTACGTAAAGGGCCGGCTCGTAAACGTTTATGCACCGCACAAGCGGGCCGTAGTATGAACTACAGGTGTTGTATGAAGTAGCTGACTGGTGACCTAGTGACGGTCGAGTCCGACGTTTTACATGGGCTTGCTAGACGTACACGTGGTCGCGTGCATGGATGAGTCTTGCAGGGACTCGCTTGAGACTAGGGGTCAATACTATGTTTCTGCTCCCTTCCTCCCTCCCTCCCTCCCTCCCTCTCCTCCTCTCTCCACCAGTCTCCACCACCAGTGCCCAGGCACCCACTGACTCCACACAGGACTCCTGCTCTTCTGTCTACAGCTACTTCCAGTCACATCCCAGCTGCTACATTTATGATTACGATTATGATACTCACGAGGAAGGGTGTTCAGCGTTCTACTGCTCATGGAATGGCTCCTTTATCGATGTTAATGTGGAGGAATGTCAAGATCCAGTCGCAGTTGCAGTCCACTATGACAGCTATGGAGATTATTCATATGAGGACTATGACTATTCAGACTATGTTGAGTTTCAGTATGTCTACAACCAGAGTGAGACAGTGGACAATTATGGCCAAGGAGACACTGGCAGATACAGTGGGATACTGGCTAGAAATGCCAGCCACCTTGGATTTCAGGTGAGTCATTGTATAGCCTCGTACCCTGGGGGATATAAGCTTCGGTATGTACGTGTGCTCCAATTGAATGGCATGGGTGTTCAAACTATGTGCTGGGGGGGGGGATTATTCTATTGGTTTGGTTTGTCTAGAGCCTAGAAAAGCTATGCAATGCTACACATAGGGCCGTCCATACAAGGTGCTCAAAGCCTCACACTATGAGGGTAAAGTTTCCCGTGGCAAAGCCTTTCACTTTGACAATAGTCGGTGTGAGCCTACCACATGTATGACAAGGGGGCAATATATAGAATAAGACAATGTAAAATCGTTTAGCTTGCTACAGTCTACTATAGCAATGCCTAACAGTGCCACACCCACGAGCACGTTATCAGGGTATGAGCGTGCTGCAAAAGTATCTCCAGAGGTTTAGGTGCAGTGTTTTTGTGTACTACACGTCCCCTTTGAGTGTAGGCGTGAGGATAGTCATAGAGTCACGGAATGTAGGATTGTTGGTTGACCTCTCCTGACCCCCACCTGCTCACTGGAGAACGAACAGTTTAGGCCACCCCTACCTTCCACAATGTAATTTGGTGCTGCACCTGATCTTGAGCATCAATAAGTTTGGATAATTGTGTATATACGTACATGCCAATGTTTGTGTTCGTTAAGGCAGCATTACGTGTAAGTGTGCTGACTCTACCACGAAATGTTCTTTACCACTGTACACGTAAGACGTGCGTAATAGGTTGTTAAACAGTATTAGGTGCATATAGTGGGCTGTATCTACACCTATTATGCTGCCTAATGCACACAAAAGTCATATGTGTGTTTGTGCACACCGATGTAATGTTATCCGAAGTTTTGAAATTTTCTTCTATAAACTACTATACCCGAATACCAATGTAGAGTGTCTATTGATGTTCTGGTAGCCCTGAGTGTGTAGCATATCCTGTGCATTATGCAGTACATGTGTGATTTCTTTCCCTTCAGCTCTATGTTGACCACTCAGGCCAGGACAGGCAGACCCTAGTGGACCCAGTATACTTTCCTCTGCTCCCAGGAGAGTGTATGTGTGACTCCATGCAGGCAGTGGCAGAGGACATAGACTTGTTGGTATCGTCCTCTTGCAACACAACTAACGATGAATGTACTGAACTACTGTGTAATTTGGAAGGGGGTTCTATAGAGAGAGTGACAATGAGAATCTCGCAGTGTGACAATCCTCCAACACTGACACTGGAGATGGTGGTCAATGGTCAGAGCTACCCTACAGATTTGACTGGCAATAGAACGAGTGCATTGGGTGATCTTGGAGCGACTGTGATTTACACTGTCTGGTACTACGACTACTCCATGGACATACAGGTATGTATGTGAAATACATACACATATGTAAGTGAAAAGAAGGAAGAAGGGTGCTAGTGTGTGTGTGTGATGTGTGTGTGTGTTTGTGAGTGTGTGTGCACGTGTGTTGTTGGAAGGAAGAAGAGCGCTTGCTTACTCATAAGCTGTGCACTGTACACTGGGTAGAAGATAGATTACTAAAGTCAACAGGATGTGTGTATTCATCTGCTCCAGACAGGAAACTGGCCTTCGTTTACCTTACACCAACAATGACAGGAAACTGGCTCCAGACAGGAATCTGGCCTCAGTAGAGTTCCTTACGCCAACAATGCCACGGGACTTTCCCAAGTCTATTGGTTCACTTGAGCCCAGGAAGTCATTTGTGAACTGTTTGTACAAGTCTTGCATAGTTTATGACAATGTCTTTCCCATGGGACATACAGCTAACTTTTACCGATATAGTTTCACACATTTATTGACGCTAGCAAAATTTGTTAAAAATTCCCCACTCTATGGTATTTTGACCCAGTCCAAGTATGTTTACCCTCGGCGCGCATGCGCAGCGAGGGTACTGTAGTTGGGTCTGTGTGTCTGTCTGTGTGTCTGTTACTCTACATCTCACTCCTCGAACGTCTGTTCGTCCCAGAAACGATACCATCTACCCAACGGGCGATGAAGGTCAGAAACTTTGTGGTGTTTTCTCTGAAAATGCTCCGTTGCAAAGCTAGAGCACTTCCAGCATTGTATGGCTAATGCCGGTAGTCGCCATTTTATCGCTGCGGATAATGCGCATGCGCTATATTTAGCACAGGACCGGACCGGATCCGCTTGCTCTGTCTATCTTGAAGGCACAAGAAGTCACAACGAATGGCGTGTATCGACTCTCGCATGCTATCTACTACTGTAGCTAGCCCGTGTCAGACTCTCTGCGAGCTGAGTAAACGCATACAAAGCCCAGCCCATCAATTAGTGCTACCACGTATGCACAGTTCGCCGAGGGTTTGCACTTTAGTGCTTTTCATTGGGTTTGTCTGTTGTGTGTGTGTGTGTCTGTTACTCTACATCTCACCTCTCGAATGTCTGTTCGTCCCAGAAACGATACCATCTACCCAAGGGCGACGAAGGTCAAAATATGTGGGGTTTTCTCTGAAAATGCTCCGTTGCAGAGCTAGAGCGCTTCCAGCATTGTATGGCTAATGCCGGTAGTCGCCATTTATGCTCTGGCAGATATGCGCATGCGCTTATATTAGCAGCTTACCTCGACCAGGTCCGCTTGCTCTGTCTATCTTGAAGGCACAAGAAGTCCACAACGAATGGCGTGTATCGACTCTCGCGTGCTATCTACTACTGTAGCTAGCCCGTGTCAGACTCTCTGCGAGCTACTTCGCCGAGGGTTTTGCACTTTAGGGCTTTTCATTGGGTCTGTGTGTCTGTTCTTGTGTGTCTGTTTACTCTACATCTCACCTCTCGAATGTTTGTTCGTCCCAGAAACGATACCATCTACCCAACGGGCGATGAAGGTCAGAAACTTTGTGGTGTTTTCTCTGAAAATGCTCCGTTGCAAAGCTAGAGCACTTCCAGCATTGTATGGCTAATGCCGGTAGTCGCCATTTTATCGCTGCGGATAATGCGCATGCGCTATATTTAGCACAGGACCGGACCGGGTCCGCTTGCTCTGTCTATCTTGAAGGCACAAGAAGTCACAACGAATGGCGTGTATCGACTCTCGCATGCTATCTACTACTGTAGCTAGCCCGTGTCAGACTCTCTGCGAGCTGAGTAAACGCATACAAAGCCCAGCCCATCAATTAGTGCTACCACGTATGCACAGTTCGCCGAGGGTTTGCACTTTAGTGCTTTTCATCTTTCTCTCTTTCTTTTCCCTTTCTTCTTCTCTCTCCCTGCAGATAGTGGCACAGAACGGTGACGCCTACTACGAGATTCTCTCTCGTCACAAGATAATCCTGGACCTCACCTCCTGTGGTCCACCTCGACCTCTTGACCTCTCAACTGCCCCTCCCCCTACCATTGAGTTTACTGAGCCCACCATACCTTCCACCACTGACAGTTCTTACGATACGTGTGCAGCTCTCCAGTCTATATCTATTGCTGATGGCACTTTGTGTAACACAAACCAAGCCTGCACAGCCCTGGAGTGTGAGATCTTAAGTCAAAGACTGGAGATACAGGTGGACCAGTGCCACAACCCTCCAGGGATCATCATCATCCTCTATAATAAGCAAAACCAGCCAGTTTTCAATAGGACTTTCAACAATGGGTCTACCATTGTCAATGATGGCCGTCTGCCGGTGGATTTGAACGTGACGGTGAAGCAACTTCCTCCGAGTGCTATAAGTGTGGAGGTACGAATGTACAGTTGTCGAATGTCAAATCGTATCCATTACACCTCTGGTCCAGTGCTTGTTTCTAAGGCTTGTCTACTTAACAAGCCAGCCAAAGGGTGATTTGGCAGTAATACGGGCTAAAACGGTACTCTTGCACTGGGCCCTATTCTAGGCTTCATATTTGAGGCATCGTACAACGATCCTAGAATTAAACTTTTTTCTCGGAAGCATACGCTGGGGAACATGAGTAATTTGTGCATAATGTCAATGAGCTTTTGCCTGTTGAGTATTTTAACTGTCAGGACTCTGTTGAAGTGTGGCTTCTTTTCCATCTCTATTCCGTTTCAGTTGGTTGCACAGTGTCTACTGATGTATATACTGTACATATACAATGTATGGTTCCAGTAATTCCTTATTGTTTCTCTGTCGTGTGTCCATACAGGTATATGGGATCATTCGTTTGCCAATTCCTCTCCCGTTTCCTGACCGAATAACCATCGTTCCAAAAACTGTCGTCCCCATCGACAAGTCTTCTTGTTTCACTTTAGCCCCACCCACAACAGGTAAGATTGATGAATCTATATGCAATGGTTTCCTAATCTCGCACCTGCTGGCCCCCCTCTCTCCACTGCCATTGGTACAAGCTGGTAAACAAACCTGCACTTGATTAGTTTGCTGGAATGTAATTAACCCTCGGCGCGCATGCGCTCGAGGGTTATAGTAGTTAGTCTGTGTGTCTGTCTGTCTGTCTGTCTGTTTGTCTGTGTGTGTGTGTGTTACCACGTTTTCTGCCACCACACGCAACAAACTGGCCAAAAAGCGACACCAACAGGTTCAGCGCTACACTGGCTTCATTTTAAAAATGGCGATTTTCGTAATAATACTGGCGTTCTGGTGTGAAAAGCAAGTGAACAAGCCAATATGCTAATTAGCACTGGCTTACCTCCACGTCTTGCTCTGTGTATCTTGAAAGCACATGAAGTCACAACGAAGGGCGTGTATCGACTATCTACTACTGTAGCTAGCGGTGTCGACTCTCGGTGAGCTTCTAGCTGGAGACACAGTAAACGCATACAAATAGTCAATTAGCAGTATCCCCATGCAAGTTGGTGAAGGTTTGCACTTGAATTATACTACAGGAGGAACACCTGACTAGTGCACTTGACTGTAGATACAGAGAACCATGAATATGATTAAAGCTGAATAGTGAGTCAGGAAATAGAAATCTGCTTGTCAGCCTTTTCGCTCTATATACATAATCTGCTTTTCCTATGGCATGGGTAACCAACGACAAATTTCTCATACCTGAAGCATTTTTTTTACTAGGCCCTCCCCCTAGGCACATTGCCTTTATAATGCATGGTGTCCACACGTAACAATCTAAGAGAGGGTCCAGCAGGCGAAAGGCTATAGGTTTCCATTTCATCCTGTTAATTCTCCTTCCTCTAGCCCCCACATCAACATGCTCGTCCATGCGCTACATCCAGACAGCACTGTCACTTTTTACGGTGGATCCCTGCTATTACCCCGTGGCCAACAACTGCTCCACGCTCACCTGTGCGATGGGCAACGGAGAAGACATCACTCTCAGAATCCTCCGCTGTGCCCATCCCCCCGCCGTCAGAATCACTCGCGGGACCGCATTTTCCACCAACTTTGACCACACGTTTGACCACTCTGAGGTGGTCCCTTTGCCAGGTGTCGAAGACGAAGGAGCTGCGCTGAATGTGACGCTCGACCAGCTGTGCTCCAATAACAGCATTGGTCTTAAGGTTAGTATTGTGTGATGCACAGAGCAGCACTCGTAACCTGCCCTACTTCCGTGTGCAAATGCCACTCATTGAATAAACAAAAAATACCCCCAATCAGTTATTTCAAGATTTTCATCAACTGCAAGAGGAAGTAGAACTGTATCGGCTTTGACTGGATTGCACCTTTATAACTCATTTGGTGGAAACCTTTCACCTTCTATGATTCCACTATTATAATTATTTATCTATTCTCTACTTATTCTCTTTCTTCCAGGTTGATTACAAGTCTAATTCAAGGAACACACCTTTTATTCCTTACACTGTTATACCAATCAACACCACTGGCTGTGGCCCAGGCTCAGGTGGGCCTTTAAATTTTCACTGCTTTCCTCTCATTTTCATTGCTCTTACTACCTCCCTCCCTTTAGGAGAAAAGTTTTAGGTATCATGCAATAGGAGACAAAATAGTATAGGACTCCTGTTTTGACATTCATTTTGCTGATTAAGTAAACATATTCCATGACCCCTACATATTATATGTTGCATTTCATAATAGTTTATTAAACAGTTTTCGTTTTGTTTTTGCTTGTGTATGTACTGAACTCTTCAGCATGGATTAAATGTCTTTTTGTCCTCATGTCTTTCTTTGTTCAGGAGTAACGTGTCTTCCAACATCACCACCTGACAGCGGCGACCTCTGTAAGGCCATGAATGACATCAGCGACCAGATCACCATGGACGAAGACGAGACAGAGTGCTCCGTGTCAAGGGACTGTAAAGAGGTTGACTGACGTGCACCCGAAGCCGGGGTCTCATTCTCAATGACTCTGAAGTGCTCTCCAGATGGAATAACCCTAACGTTTGTCAATTCCTCCACATCCCCGCCTGTGACCGAGTCTGGATTCTTTAATAAGTCAGGCACCTTTATGGACACCTATCTGGTGACAGTGGACCAGAAGACCAGTAAAGGATTTGGGTTTGCAGTGACGTTTCATATCGATGTTCCAGGCTTCACTTTTGATGTACCGTTTGTCAACCATACCTACATCCCAACAACTTCTTGTAGCTCTGGCACGACCGCTGCCTCTGGCACGACCGCTGCCTCTGGCACACCCGCTGCCTTAGGTGGGTGAATGCAATATGCACATTGGTTACAACTCTCATGGAAAACCTGCACATATTACAATGGAGCCTTTGATAAGGGACCCTCTGAGATATATACGACCGCACTACAAAGCACACTTGCTTAAACACCATGCTAATACTTTAGTGTATTGTTTAACCTCTGAGATAGCTCTACAAGGGATAAGATTGTTGGCCCCATAGTGTCCCTTGTTCAGAGGTTCCACTGTACCTAAAGTTAGGTCTGCATGCAAACTGAATACAGCTATATATTATTGTTAAATGTGCAGTAGTTTTAAAGTATCTGGGTGTTTGTTGCAGTTATTGGACTGAGTGTGGGAGTTCCGTTTGTTGTCCTGCTGACGTTGGTGATAATAATCGTCGTGGTTACGGCGGTCTACCTCGTGCGACGACGTCGTTATCGTCACTACCAGCTCCACCGAGTGGCTATGAGTCAGGTCGATGAGGACGAACCGGCCTAGCAAGAACAACTGTAAATTGATCGCACAACCTCATCTTCAAAAACGAATATAGCTAAAACAACTGTTAATGTGTTGTACTTTCTCTGTTCAACTGTACATCAGTACGTGATTCAACTGTACATCAGTTATCATGCATGTGTAAAATTCTTTTTTAATTACAGTTTCTGTATCCACTTCCATTAGTGCGAGAGGTATGTACAATATGCCGCAATGCGGGGCAGCTATATAATAAGTGCAGGCCAACCGATGGGGCGCGCGCGAGGCCGAACACGCATGCGCACTCCTATACGATCGCGCCGTGCATTTTTCTCGCAGACGACCGCAGAATATCATTCTCCCGCGACGTCGCCGCAGAGCCAGCACGATGAAGTTTCCAGTATTCAAAAACCTGTCTGTCTGTATGGTGTCTATGGGGCTCTGGGCAGTTCTTCTGACCAACAGAATTGGTTAGTTGTGTGTAGCAAGGAACCGTCATCTCGTAGCAAATTCCATCGAAGCAAATAAACGAGCGAGACTTTTCGATGTAATTCAGTTTCAGGTCAGAACCAGGCCACGTGTGATGGTCTGGACAATATGGTTCAGCAGACGTTGCTGCTGGACTGCACCAGGAACGCCGCCTGTGACAGAGTCGTCTGTGTCTCTGCAAATCCTCTGATAGGGTTGTATACTCTCACCATGACGCTCCTCTCTTGCAGGAACCCTCCAGGTATACATACAGATCTTTCAGAGCTCACAAAAGCAAGCTCTACTGCAGTTTTTTAAAGCTAAACAGTGGCCCCACCTGTTATTTTTTAAAACTCATCAATCCACTTTTGAAAAGTGGGTCAGTGTGTGTGAGTCACAGGGTGTCAATGCTTATTGCATATCCACTGAGAACTATAATATTCTTATAGGACGAAAGGAGTTGCATTGTGTTCTCTACATCTCATGGTAATGCTCTGATCTCTAGGCAGAGTGCTTTTCCTACTTAGCTATATACCAGGGCAGCACCACAGCTATATTATAGCCGAACACTGCACAAAGGCACACTCTGTTAACGAAAGTTGTTACTTAGCATTATAATGCGATACTAATTATCGAACCAGTGTGTAATATCTCTGTGATAGAGTTTTTGGATGATTTTACGCTATACAGGTGTGCATGCTCTGGTGAATCAAGGTGCAGAGGTGGTCTTTGACGACGTCATTGATCGCACCATGACTGGAGTCGCTGTTGGTGGAGGAAACACTCTCAGTATCACACTAGACCACCTGCAGAACCCACCCTCCATTGCTGTACAGGTATATAAAAGCCTCAGTTGAAAGTAAATGGCACATTTGACTTTGAAGCATGAGCATTTCCTTTTATAGGCATCTCTCTATATACTCAGTTTCCAAGTGTAACAATATGCAGCTCTTTTTTAGCATGATTCAAAACTCTATTAGCTACTCTATTGCCAAGCAATTCCTGGTTTATCTTTTGCAAACTGCACATGGAGTATACAGTTTGCAGTGAAAGTTAATTGCTGATATTCATAAAAATGGTACCAGTTTTAATGCATGTTTATGTGATACCAATAGCTCATTCCTCTGTGTGCGCTGTGTATTGCCCTATATAGTACTTATGTCTGTCACCTTTGTATTATTATGGTGATAATGTTCGAGCTCTCTAATTTACTCTGTTTAGGTTGATCTCGTCACTACTATTGGTGCCGTGATCCCTATCATCCCTAACAGTAGGATACCACTGGATACTCAGTCTTGTGCGCTGACTACCACAGGTATGTATATACACTAGGAGAGAAACTAGTGTATAATGATATCCACACATTTACCACATCATGCATTCATTTACATACTTTTAAGTAAGGTGCTCATTTGTTTGTTAGTTCTTGCAAGTTTTGCACATACACCCTTTTAACATTGTTGATGAAGAATTTGTTGTTGTGTTATGTACTACAACCAGTTTCCGTGGTCACGACCTACGTGAGCCCTAGCTCTGTGATCTCTTCTTCTTCCACTGGTGGACATACTCTCACCCTCACAAGCTCTACTGATGATGAATCTACTACTTCTAGTCTCACTACCGTGGATATCACTGGTATGCAACCTCATGGCTTCAAGTCAACCCAAACTCCCTCCACTGCCATTGAGTCTACTTCCGTAAAAGAAGGTGTTAGCTATTGCTTGTTTTCTAACTGCATAATTTTTTCATTGTGTGGCATCTGTGTTTGTGTGCACACAGTCTTTTCAAAGGAGTTCATTGCCAAAATCTGTGTATTTAAGCTGAAGGACTTCTTGTTATTCTTTTCTAATAGGGTCATTATCATCATCAATCGTCAACACTAGATTGGCAATCACTCAGGGGCCCACTCCCACATCGACTCCCATAAAAACACCAGTAGCCAATACAACGTGCTCTGTGTTACAAGAAACTGCCGCCAACGCCGAGATCTTTGAGTGTACTCCAGACACCACAGAGCCGTGTGATAGAATCTACTGCTCAGAGAAAATTGGAGGGAAAAACTACGATGCGGTGATAATACTGCTGGCATGTGAGGACCCAGCGGCCGTGAGGCTGGAGCTGTCCAGTAGTGACGGGGAGGTGACAGTTAATGAAACGGTCGATCAGTCTGAGGAAATTGAAGTCCCTGGGCTTTTCGGTTTCACAATGGACGTCACCATAGACCACTTTCCGGATGCACTCGGGATACAGGTAGGGTAAAAAAATCACTTCTGAATGACCGAAGAGTTGCAGTACAAAGAACCCATTATATCTAAATGAAAACCTCTATTTAATCTAAGGACACTTTGACATTTGACATTATAAGGACACCTCACTATTTCCTTGGCGGAGAGCTTCCACTTAAAAAGTATGGCCTAACAGTCAAGGAAATCATTCATAACCTCATCACTCATAACCGCATTATGCTTTTAGCCTAGCTCGCATGATGTTAGAGTATTGCATGTGGACAATCAATCGGTGGTAATTGCTACTTGAACGTTTTTTTGTGCGCGTTTCGAGTGATTTAGAATCATAAAGCCATCCCTACGTCCTAGATAAAGTTTGGAGGAGTTGTTTATGCCGTATTATTTTAACAACACCATCGCTACATAGTGAGTCTCATGTTAGCTGCTCATTTTGACTCTGCAGGTGGATGGAAAAGTATTCACCGAGGTGTACACTATCATCAAATACACTGTCGTCCCTCTTGAGAGAAGCAAAACCTGTGAGTTAGAATACAAATTCTTATACTTCTGTCTTTTTAAGTAGAAAAATTTATTGTGTAGCTGGCCTGCTAAGCACTCGGTATACATGTATGATAAAATGATTCTCTGTGATGTATTGCAGGCAGGAACTCAGAAAAGACGTCAGATTCTTCTTCCCAAGCTGTAGCTACTCATTCACTTCCATCCACGCTTGTTTCTCTGGTCACCATTCTGACTGTGGTCACTGCATCATTTCTTGTACCATGTTGAGTCACTGCATTCATGCAACACTGTTATGGGTAGTGTGATGAGATGTTTTTGTAGTTCAAAAAAGTTTAGAAAGTTTCATGAGCTCCAGAGGAGATAGACATACAAGGGAACATGACAAAATGAAAAACACTAAAGGGCAAACCCTCGGCGAACTGCGCATGCGCGATAATGCAAAAAAGCTCCGCCAATGTCCTAGGAGTCGTGCTTATGAACTGATGGACTGGGCTATTAGCGGTCTCCCGCTAGTAGCGCGCGGAGAGTCTGACACGGGCTAGTTACAATAGGAGATAGCATGCGGGAGTCGATACATGCCGTTCGTTGTGACTTCCTGAGCCTCCAAGGTACACAGAGCGAGCGCGCGGTAAGCCCAGTGCGATTATGCAATTGGTTTTTTCGCTTGTTTTCACGGCATATCTCTCGAACGCAGGAAAATCGCCCTTTTTTTCAGGCTCACCTTCTGCAGCCGCTGGTATCGCTAATTGGCCGCCTCGTAGCCAGAACAAGCGTCGACACACACACAGACAGTACAGTACAGTACAGAGACAGACAAAAACCCTCGCTGCGCATGCGCGCCGAGAGTTAAACGCATTTAGAGGTGAGGTAGGTAGGTATGGATGAAGACAGCAATCTTCTCCCGATACAAATGATAGATGGGGAGGCAGATACAAGGGTATCAGTTATTTTCCTCCACAGATCCCAACTGCAGTTCTTGGTGGGTCTGTACCAGATGTTCCAGGTAACTTGTTCATTGATAGATTAGCTAGTGTGGACAGAGTCTGTCGCCGAATAATGGCCTTGCCCCATGATCTAAAGCAATGTCCCATATCTTGAGCCATGACAGCTCGGGAACTGATGGGTGCGAAAATCTCTTTGGCAGAACTCTTTGTCGGCGGTGAGGACTCTCTTCCTTTAGGTATGCGCGTAGGAACGCCTGCGCGTGCGCAGTCTAGCCCGGCTATGTACGTGCGTGTGTGTAAAGTAAACCTACACACACCCCACGTAGGATTGTTCAGGCCCCCTTATTAGAGCCCTGAGCTGCGCGTGCAACCACAAACTTGAGAACTTCGCAGGGGAGCAGATGGAGCTACCACGAGTTTCTGTATACCTTCCACTTGTCGCGGCTTTGATGATCTACGCATGCTGCAGTACAGGTATATAGCTACGTAATTATAGCGAAGGCGAGGAGCCAAGTAGCTCTAGCTAAATTTGCATTAGCTTTCCACGTAACTGGAGCTGTTCGAGCTAGCTACGTTTGAACACAACTCTGCATTCTTCTATTCTGTAGCATTATTGAAAACTCTACAGCTAGGTGTGACCTTGTTTTTGGCGA